CAATAATCTTAGATATTACTTTCGACATAGAAACGGTTAAAATGATAGATTATCGTAAATTTGATAGAAAGAAGCGTATAAAATTTCAATACTTTAGGTCTATTCGATAATGATTTTATTCTTATCTTATATTCAAGAACGATTTTGTTCTTATCTTCTTATTATCGTTTGACAAAATATTGATGAAATAGTTAAATTCTAGCCATCTATTTGATTACGAATTTTTACAAAAAGGATTGGTGGGTGTTTATGAATTTTATTTTAAAGAAAAATAAACAAAAAATTAAATAGTTATCAAACAAGATATTAATTTTCAAAATTGATTAAAACGCGATAATCTTACAGTTTTAAAACGAATGATTTGGGAAATGTTTTCATACATTTGTGAGAAATGCTTTGTTCCCTTCTTAACATGGTGTGCTAGCGAGGATGATGAGCCCTCAAAGGAGATGGATTGTGAGATCCCACATCGGTTGGAGAGTGGAACGAAATATTTTTTATAATGGTATGAAAACCTTTTACTAGTAAACGTGTTTTAAAAACTGTGAGGCTGCTGACGATATGTAACGGGTCAAAGTGGATAATATCAACTAGTAGTTGACTTAGATTGTTATGATGTAACGATGGTTATTTCGAATAAACACATAAAGAGATGATGATTAAATATAAAAGTAGCATTGATAAATACTTCAATATTGTATTATTTTAAAAAAAAAATCATTAAAAAAATTAAGTTAATTAATTTATCAATCTTAGTCGGTAGAATTCATGGTTTGAGTGCCTCCCACGTGGGGTGCAGTCAAAACGCACGTTTTAAATGCAAAATCTCCCAATTTTTGAAGCCACAAAATTCATCTCTAGCTAACCTAAATTGATGAGGTTGAAATCTTAAAAATAAAATAAAAATTGACATAGTCCATTTCGCACATCTTTTTCCGCAATATTCCAATTTTTGTGACATTTAAGATTATATATTTCAATTTTGTTATATCATTTATATGTATTAAGTTCCTAAGTCTACAAATGTGATTTAATAATTATTCAGCTGCAATTTAATTATTTAAATATTTGACTTCTAATTTATGTATTCTATTAATAAAACAAGAAATTGTTTTCTTTTTATTTTATTTATGATCGAGTATTTGGGCTTCATGAGTGGGCCACCAGGAAGCCCAACTAAGCCCAACGGAATGGGTTTCCATTATAACAGTTTTGGATATTGAATTAATTAAAATATTTGGGGTCGATGAAATTGGGCTTACCCACCAGCGTAGAAGCCCAATTCGGTTCTGTCCCTTGGACTCAATTTAGAAAAGATGGGCTCGATGAAATTGGGCTCACCAACCAGCGTAGAAGCCCAACTCGTTTCTATCCCTTGGACTCAGTTTAGAAAAGATGGGCTCGATGAAATTGGGCTCACCAACCAGCGTAGAAGCCCAACTCGTTTCTATCCCTTGGACTGAATTTAGAAAAATTGGGCTTGATGAAATTGGTTTAAGTGAGCCCATAAGTTGCCCTGCCCATGAGGGAGTTTGAAATAAATGACAAAATTAGATTAGCTCAGTTTGTGGCACTGAAATCAGCGAGTAGTTTTGAATGTTTCTTCTGCTAAGATAGCATAGGAACATGCTTCTGTGACAATTAGAAATACAAGTAGAAGAATGGATCTTCAAGTTCCAAGACTCATATGGGATAGGGTTGAGATAGTCATTCTAAAGTAAACAATATTAACTACAAATTCATACATAAAGGAAATATTGATACTACGCTTCATCAGTCACTTGAATCATTCGGAACTTGAGCTCTTCGGGGCTTCGTCTGCCTTTTTGTTACTACTGCCTGCATTTCTTCATGCAGCAAGATGAACATTTGTATCGTTTGATACAATCAGCCTTAGCAGGTGTTATGTTTACGCACTTTCCGTGGTACCACCTTTCGCATATGTCACAGCCAATCCAGAACTCATCTGTACTGTTTTCACCACAGCTACCACAGAGGGTTTTGCTATGTTCGTCGACATCCTCCTCGATACTCTGTTTGGCAAGTTTAGGATTGCTTTTCACCTGCCCATCATTGGATCTCTAGAATAGAGGAGTATCAAGTTAAGAGGTACTCAGAAGCTTAAAACAATTTGTTAAACTGCTTCAAGTTCTTTAAGAAGACATGACATTGATATGTCAAGTTAAATCTCTTTTATGTGATCAGAAGCTCTTTTCCCCAAAAAAAACCGATAACAGACGAGGATTAAATCCTTCAATCCCATCCGGAGAATTCATTGCACTGAACCCCATGAGAGAATTATGCACAAAAAGTTCAGTATGAGTTATTAAAAAAACATGATCAACAACATTAACCTTAGCGCTTCCTTGTGATCTGCTTCCACTATCTACACTAGGTTTCTCTTTGACAGGCTTCCATTCTGTCACAACTTCAAAGACAGTGGGAAGATCATTCATCAAGCTAAATAAACGCTTTCTGTCATTATATGATTAGTAAGACGAAAGGAGTTAGTGCATGATTTTGCAGAACATAACATCATTACATAATAACATAAAACAAACAGTTAAGTAGCTCTTCAACTTCCACAATTATTCAGGCAGTAACATAGTTAATAAAGGAGAAAACCAAAGAAATTAGCGTGGTTGATAAAAAATTGCTCGAGTATTCTGCCATAAACCTATAACCTATTTGTTGCAGACAGCATTTGCAAATAATCCCAGAAGAAACATTAAAGAAAGTAAATTTAAATGAGTCTTAGAAGTTCACAAACATCATTGACAAATGCAGGATTCAAAATATATCATTGAGCAGACCCTGACCTATAATCTGCAAGCAAAAAATCAAAAGAATAGGGTTTACCTTTCGTTTTGCTTAAGCCTTGATCCAAGATAGAAAGCCACCGAGAGCAACCAGGAATCACTATGTACAGCCACTAGAGACAGCCAATCTTTTCTGTTCATGCCATCCCTTGCAAAATTGATTCCAAGTGCAGGCTCAGGAAGCTCCGGTGGAACCTCTTCTACTGGAAGAACCACTTCCCATGTTTCATTGGGATGTCCATACAGACACAAATTTTCCTTATCTGAACAAATCAAGGTGAAAAATATATGAGGCGTCATATATTGATAGTAAATTCCTGCTTTCAGAGAACTTAATAATATCAGACAGTGTGAAACTTTGCATGCCTAGACAAGAGCATAAATCAATAAATTACAACATGCATCAGTCACTGGCTAATTAAGATACCATAAGTGTACGGAAAAAGGAACATTCCCAGGATCTCAATGCAAGATCAAGATCACAAAAATTAAGTTTCGAATTCAAGGAACAAGCATCCAATCTGAAGCAATTGCCGATACTACGTCATTAGCCATATTAAGAAATATTTTCTCAATTCATTATACATCGAAGGCTTGTTAAATTCACCAGCAGCAAGAAAATGAACATTTAGAGAAATAATAAACTTTGCAAGGAAATCAAATGCAAACAATTACGCATCACCTGGATCACAAAGGGCGTAAAATTCATCCACATCTGACAACAACAACAACAACAACAACAAAAGAAAATGAAAATCAGTGATCTCCGAGGGAAAAAAGAAATAAGCAAACAAGAGAAGTTAGAGAGAGAGAGAGAGAGAGAGAGGAGACAATACCGTGAGCGAGGGCGCGAACAAGAGCGGCACGGCGACCGGCGTAATCTTTGAAAATTTCCTCGACGGTTTTGGGAGTGGTGGATGGCATTTCCATGGCGGAAAGGAGATCTGAGAGGAGAGAACGAAATCGGGAGTCACATGAAGAAATGGAAATTGGGAGAAGGATTGGGAATGAATGGAGGAAGGATTAATGCATGAGTTTGGGAAAGAAGAGAGCGTAAGCGGCAGAGATCCATGTAAACGTCAGCACCCGCGAGACACAGAAGAACAGGAGGTTGGATTGTAAATTGACGATAATCAATATTTCACTATTGCCACTCCAAATTTTCACTTCCCAACCACTCTTTTTCCTTTCCTTTTTTCTTTTTAAAGGAAAAAAAAAACTCCAATTAACCATTTTTAAAATTTTATTTTATTATTTATTAATTTAGAACAGATGAATGATTATGGAATAACAAATGTGACAATGGGCCTGTTTGACTCCGGCCCAAATATCATAGTTCTTCGGCCCAGTTTCTAATCCATTGCAATGGGAGTGTCATGGGCCTAATTTGAATCTGGCCCAAATAATCGTCATTATGGGCCTAAGAGACAGGTGTGTTAATTTCCCGTGACTAAATTTAATAACCATTTAGCAGCATTAAATTGTGATTGGATAAAGGGTCAACTAACTTTAATATTATTCAAATAGCCGACAATGTATAAGGGATGAATTTGAGATTATTAAAACAGTGATTAAAAAAATAAAATAATATCCTTAAATTAAAAAAAAAAAAACAAAATTTAAAGATATTTCTTTAATTTAGCAACTAAATAAATATAAAATAAGTTAATTAATCTATTTTCAGAGTAACTAAAAAATTAATTAAAATAAGCAAGTTCAGCTCATTTTTTAATAGTTTGGAAGATGGAGTTTCCATTCTCGATTTGTCATACTATAAAGATAAGAATTAAAAAATAATAATTAAGAGGGGATTATGAGATGATTAATTAAACTAAAATATCCTTCCCAATAAATGCAACAAAATATGAGCAGTTGTAACATTTAAAATAAAAAGCTGAATAGATAATGGTTTGGAATAATCAAAGAAAACAATAACAATAATAATAATAAATAAATAAATAAAAATAGAGACATTAACCTTTAAATGGGGTCACGGTGACCATTAAGCACAGCTTGACGGCGACGTGTAGGGGGCTAAGTTCACGAGCCACCAAAAATAATTTTAAAATATTATTTATTTATCAATGAATTGGAATAAATCACACCGTTATTTGGCTAGGATAATTATTATTAATTAAGTTGTTATTATTATTATTATTTAGAAGGGGAAAAAAAAAAGGTAAAGGAAGCAGTCCTTCGAGCCGAGCCAGGGCGGCAAAAAGCCACCTGCCATCACCGCCACAATTCCGTCGGCCACAGAATTTTCCAATTGCGTCGTGGCGTTTTCAATTCTTGTTTATTGTTGAAAATGATTGAGAGAGAGAGAGGCCGATTCGCGTTTTCTTTCTGAAGCATCGAGTCAGTTTTGGGGATCTCTCTGTATCTGCGATTCGTTGTGGATATGGCGCAGATTGGTCAAGCCGAGGTCTGTGTGCCGAGGTCTCTGCAAGTATGGCAAGCTTTGATCGATTGGCTCTCTTTCTTTGTTCATATAATTGCTCAGATCGTGCGTGGTGCTCCTTCTTGGGCTCAGATTTTGTCCTATGTCGGTGTTAGATTGCCGCTTCTTGCCTCATCTTCTCCCTCTTTTAAGCCCTTGCCGATTGCTGAGCTTTCTCTCCATCAGCTTTCAGCTAAGAAACTTAGCCCTCTCACTGATGTGGATGACGGTGGAAGTCGAGATCGCCCGCTGGAAAAGATCACGGTAATGTTCGTTTCGTCCTCTTCTTTTTTTATATGTTTTTGAAGAAAATGATGATTGGCGACATTGTGAAATCATTAGACACTACAAACTGCCTCCATCTCTGCTTGCGATTTACTGATTTGAATATTTTCCATTTGTTTTTTGAAACCTATTATTACGATGTTGAGATAAACTAAGTTTGCTGTGATGTTTATGCATTTTACATGTTGTGATTCCAATACTTCATTTGCTCTCTCAGGTTGTTCTTGATTTGGACGAAACCTTGGTTTGTGCATATGAAACATCCAGTTTGCCAGCCGTTTTTCGCACTCAGGCAACAGAAGCTGGCTTGAATTGGTTTCAGCTAGAATGTGTGTCCTCGGACAAGGTACCTCCCATGGATTTCTCTTTCTAAACTCTACTTGAAAATTTTCTTCTGTCGATTAATTTTGGTAGCTGTATTGAAGGAATATGAAGGAAAGCCAAAGATCAGTCATGTGACTGTATTTGAACGTCCTGGATTGCACGAGTTCTTGAGTCAGGCTGCTGAATTTGCTGAACTCATTTTATTCACCGCTGGTCTTGAAGGTTTAGATTAATCAATATCTTTTATAACTTTCCTCCCGTTGCTATATGTCATATGTGGTCCGATGTACAGGATATGCTAGACCACTGGTCGACCGAATCGATTCAGAGGGAAGATTTAGCCTTCGACTTTATCGACCATCCACCGTTAGCACGTAAGTAATTTACCTCTAACTGGGTTTAGAATCTGAGATTGATCTTGACTGGGGTACAACTCAATTAAGCAAGCTTTTCCTTCCATGAGAGATTTTGTGTTCTAAGCTTTTGCTTAAAATTTATCAGGCTGTTGAAATGAACTACAAAATTAGATTTCTTAAAGATGTTTCTTTAAATTGCAGAGAATACAGAGAACACGTAAAAGATCTATCGTGTTTACGAAGAGATCTCTCTCGAGTTGTTATAATCGATAACAACCCGTTTAGTTTCTTACTGCAACCATTGAATGGAATCCCATGCCTCCCATTCTCTCCTGCACAGCCTTCTGATAATCAGGTAGAAACTTCTCTTATGATAATGGCTTTGGTCCATTCCATTATTAGATACTCACTTCCCCATTGCTCTGTGATGTGCATTCTTCAGCTTTTAGACGTCCTCCTCCCGCTCCTCAAACACCTCGCCCTGGAAAAAGACGTCCGACCCATTCTATACGAAAAATTTCACATGCCTGAATGGTTTCACATCCATGGAATTCCTTAGCATGAGAAAATTACAATTCAGATAATATCCAAGCGTGCTGAGTGAAGAGCATGCTATGAAATCAGTCTCCACATTCTTTCCATTTAGAGCTTAGGTGATGGAGTAAGAAGAAATTCATGAGATATGTCCACAATGTATGTTGTTTCCACCTTAGGTTAATGTATTCTATTGTTTCATCAAGACTGCAAACCATCAAAAGAGTTGTACTCTTAAATTTAAATTCTTTTATATCATTACCCCTTAGAACAGTCTTTCAAGAGGAAATCCAACGTTTTTGTAGAATTTTGATACTTCTCGGGGATCACCGACTGGCGACCAGCATAGTCTGTCCTAGTGCAAGCCTTCAGTTATAGCTTCAAAATTACGTCGTCTGCAAATTGAATGCTGCCATACTCCTCTTTACTTCATAGTAGTTAATGTAGTTTAAAATTATTTGGCAGCACTTCAGTGTCATAGCCACTTGGTCTTGTTTATTGGTATGTACACTTGAAAGGAAGAACTGACAGGGAGGACTTGTTTTGGGGAGGAGCAACAGAGAGGGAGAAGCCGCCATTTGTTATTGGATAAGTTCAGACTTAGGGAAGCTAATCAAGCAATGGCGATGCAACTCAGCCATGTGTATTACGGTACACCCACAACCCGACGACCAACACTGCCGCTCACTGGCTGGAGAACCACCGTATCTTAGGTTAGAGCCGTCGCAGGAAATGATTAGGAGCTTCTCAAATCCAACAAGGTTCAGGCAAGTAGGCCAAAGGAGACATCGACGGCCATGGATTCCGAGGATAGGCACATGTGAGTTGGAGAATGCTATAGTAGAGTTAGAGGGTAGGGGCATGTGTAGCTGTTTGTGAAGAACAAGGATCAACTGCCCAAATCGAGCCTCACGATTTTAAAACGTACATTGGACTGTGGACTGACTGGCTTTTCTTTTTGTACCAATAAATAGATATGAGGCAGCAACATAATCTGCTGTTCAGTGGAGTAATATAAATTGATTTTTAGGCTAATTTTAAACACAAAATGGTGGATTCTTCTCCTCCACGGTTCTATGTTATCAACTGTTCTTTCTTTGTATGCTCGGCTCTTTGATCGCAATGTCCAAGCTAAACATAGAAAGATACTGGAACTTGGGGTGGTTGGCCGGAAGCTTCAATTGCTCCGTCGACGGCACTTTCCGGCCGAGGAAGGGCCAGAGAAACTACAATACACAACAGGCGGAGGAGTTTCTTACTACTTCCTCCAATTGCTTAGCCTCTTGCAAGCTGTGGGTGAAAACGACTGAGACCATCCGTTCAGTTTTTTTATTGGTTTTCTATAATTTCTTGATTACATTGTTCTTAATCTAAGGTGTGAAAAATCCATCAGAAATGAAATAGAGGATTGTGAAGTAAGATGTTCGAGAAGGAAATAAAGAAGGGATTTATAAGCAATTCAATACAAACAGTGAAACAGGTATCAAAATTCCTTATAGCTAGCTATATGTTTAAACGTAAATTGCAAGAAAAGTATATGTTCTTAGTTCTAGAAAAGGATTTGGGATCGTCTACTCCGATCTATTCGCGAACCTTTCGACCTTATCAGTCATGTTCAATCCGACCATTGCCTCGCCAAGCCCACAGCTCACTTCCGCCAGCACCTCTGGATCGTTGTAATGAGTAACAGCCTGCACAATCGCTCTGGCGCGCTTCGCCGGGTCGCCACTCTTGAACACACCGGAGCCGACGAACACGCCGTCGCAACCGAGCTGCATCATCAGCGCCGCATCGGCCGGTGTTGCTACACCACCGGCGGCGAAGTGAACCACTGGGAGCCTCCCGAGCTGCTTAGTCTGCAGAACTAAATCGTAAGGCGCAGCGATCTTCTTGGCGAAGGTGAAGACCTCATCGTCGTCCATGTTCCTCAACAACCTAATATCTCCCATCACGGACCGCACGTGCCGCACTGCCTCAATGATATTACCGGTGCCGGCCTCGCCCTTGGTCCTGATCATCGCCGCTCCTTCGCGGATGCGCCGCAGCGCCTCACCGAGATTACGGCAGCCACAGACGAACGGAATGCGGAAATTGTGCTTGTTGATGTGGTTTTCTTCATCGGCGAGAGTAAGAACCTCGCTCTCGTCTACATAATCGATACCAATGGCCTCAAGAATCTGAGCTTCAACGAAATGGCCAATTCGAGCCTTCGCCATGACCGGAATCGTGACAGCCTGTTTGATTTCCTTGATTAGTTGAGGGTCGCTCATTCTAGCGACACCGCCCTGGGCTCGGATGTCCGCAGGAACTCGTTCAAGGGCCATGACGGCGCACGCTCCAGCCTCCTCAGCGACACGAGCTTGCTCGGCGTTCACAACGTCCATGATTACGCCGCCACGAAGCATTTGAGCCAATCCAACTTTCACAGAGAAGGGGGATTGCTTTGTCTCAGTCAGAGCTCCGTTTCCGTACACCGCTACAACGCCGGATCCTGCCATTTTCGCCGCCCAATAACGCTACAGTAAAAAGGCGGTGGGGGAGGATTCAGCCGCAATGAAAAGGCCGTGGAAGAAGAAGAAATGAAGGCCGAGAGATTAAGGAAGAGAAGGGTTCTTTAAGTAGTGGCTGTTCTCGAATGATCTTATCGAGAACGAGAAGCGTCGATTCACGTCCAGCCTAAGCGCGTGGCATTACATAGAAATGGGGCCCACAGAATCGTCAATCTTTGAGAAAAAGTATACGAATCCAACGGCTGTCAATAAGAGATCAGGAAGCTTAGAGTGGACGTGCGTTCCATAATCATCGGTGCCTGTTAAAGCCACGCATTTTGATGTCTGAACAAGCCCTCGTTTGCGCACCAAGAACTCGATACGTGGAAACCGGTGGTTCGTTGGAGTCTTTTTCGTCTTCTTAACCTTTTTATTTTCTTTTTCAATTTTATTTTAATAAATTTACATTAATTAATACATAAATTTTTAGAATAATAATATTTATGCATAAAAAATATATATATTCAAAAATAATTTAATAGATAAAATACTAATTTATTATCTGAGCGAGGGATGGAGACGTGATCAACTTGGTTTTGTCTCTACTTTATTTATTTTTAATTATTTCGTTTATTTGGTTTATTTTATTATTTTTGTAGTTTTTTTCTTTTATTTAATATATAATTGCGTCAAACATAGTCAAATTAAGAATCAATTAGTCAACTCATAATTATCAAACAAACTAAAAAAAATAAAAATAGGCATATTGTTTCTAAAATGAGTGGTTAATCGATTATGGATGGGCTCAAATGGGCCCTTTAATCACAGCGCCCACTTTAAAATTCATATGAACCATGGCCTTATGGCCTATCTCATCATAGTGCGCACTACTTGTACACTTTTTTTCAACTCAATTATGATAATAATTCTTTTGCTAACGAATATCTCCTTTATGATTCGATTCAATTCTAAAGTTAAATTTTGGTTACGTTATAAACTTTATATCTAAATGCTATTATTTCGTATTTGACCTTTACAAACATCATAGCTATTATCGTATAGACCATGACTATATCGTTTTAGATGGTAACTTTTTAAAAATTAAACAAGTATTTCAAAATTAAAATAAATCATAAAAATAATATTTGATATTTTTTGGTTTAAATATAGTTTTTTTTTTTTTTTTTTTTTTTTTTTTTTTTTTTTTTTTTTTTTTTTTTTTTTTTTTTTTTTTTTTTTTTTTTTTTTTTTTTTTTTTTTTTTTTTTTTTTTTTTTTTTTTGTATAAAAATGGTTCACATTTGTTCAAATATATATTCAAAGTAGACTATTATTGCTTTTAATATTTGTTTATTTTTATTTATTTATTTATTTACTTTAATATTGTCATTATAAGCGATAAATGGTGTTTGAAAGTTTGAAACTTACAAGAAACTTCCATTCAAATACCTACATCATGCTATATGTATATTATAAATTTTTATTTCTAATAAATTTATAATTTTTTAAAATATAAATAAATGTATACTCACCAAATACAATATAAATATTAAATATTTTTTTAATAAAAATTGTTAATGGTAGAGGTTAGAGAATTGAATTTCTGTATTTAAAAGAAATTAAAATTAAAAAGTTTATAGTATAATTAAATATTGGAAAAAAGTAGAAGAAAATGAAAGGTAAACGCATTCCATTTGCGATATATTCTCAACTTTGCGAGAAGAATTCCATTTCACAGAGTCTTTGGATTTAGTAAGACACATGGATTTCGAACAAGAAACGCCGATCTTGCAAAACGGCGCCGTCAAGGGTTCGCTGATCGGTCGGACGGCTCACAACATGTCGTCGTCATCGCTGCGCAGAAAGTCCGATTTGACCCTCGTTTCCAAGGTTCGTTTCGGTTGTCTTAGGCTGTTGCTTGTGAATCTTCAAGAGGTCATTTTGGGAACGAAGATTTGGTTTCTTTTTCCGGCGATTCCGTTGGCTGTGTTGGCCGACTCTCTTGGCTTCGGAAGAGTAAGTGAAAACTATTTCAATTTTATTTTTTTTTAAAAAAAAAAAAAATCCAAATTTTTTAAAATTAAAATAGAAATAGATTTTAGATTTTAGATAAAAGAAATTAATTAAAAATAATAATCTGTTAAAAAAGTTGAATGGATTTACAGGCGTGGGTTTTCGTTCTGAGCTTATTGGGGCTTGCTCCACTTGCGGAACGCCTGAGCTTTCTGACGGAGTAAGCCTGAAACGACGACGTTTTCATTCTGGAATTTTCAATATTCTTTTTCTATCATTTAACTTAAATTAATATTCTTATTCATCTATTTGCAGACAAATCTCATATTTCACCGGCCCCACGAGTAATTTTCTTCCTTTATTTATTTATTATTTTGATTTATTTATTTATTATTTTTTAGACATGGTTCGATCAACTCTAATCATGTATTTTTATACTTAGTTGGTGGGTTATTAAATGCAACATGTGGCAATGCGACGGAGCTAATTATAGCAATATTTGCACTTAGCAAGGATAAAATTGAGTTGGTGAAGTACTCTCTTTTGGGTTCGGTTCTATCAAACCTTCTGGTCGTTCTTGGAACCTCACTTTTCATTAGTGGCATCGTCAATCTTAAAAGACAACAAACCTATGATCAAGTATGTGATTGGTTCTTGGCTTCTTAGTTGAAGATATATGTTTTAATCGTACGTTATAAAGTTTTGTAACATTTTCTTATAGAGACAAGTTGAGGTGAACTCACACATGTTGTTGTTGGCGCTTTTATGTCATTTGCTTCCGATGTTGTTCCCTTATGTCAAAGGGTCCACTGATGTGGTTGTAGCTAAAGCGCTACGATTGTCTAGAGCAAGTAGTATAGTAATGTTGGTGGCTTATGTAGCTTACTTGATCTTTCAACTATGGACTCACCGTGAATTTTTTGAACCGGATAAGGTATGGTTAAATTAATTTTAAATTATACAACAAGTATGATAATTTAGACGTTGTTTTATTATTATTCTGTATTAGGAACTAGACGTTTATAACGATGACGTTGTGCAAGAAGCACCAACGATTGGAATATGGAGTACAGTGGCTTGGTTGGTAGGCGTTACTATTCTCATTGCTTTGTTGTCGGAGTACGTGGTGGCTACAATTGAGGTAATAAAAGTTTTGTTCGATAACTATTTCTCCTCTAAATTTGTAATATTTCGCTTAATTTTTTAAGTTATAAGTAAAAAGTAGATAACATGGTTGAAAAATTAGGACGCTTCGGAAAGTTGGGGGCTATCAGTTGCGTTTCTTAGCATGATATTGCTACCATTGGTTGGAAATGCAGCCGAGCACGCAGGAGCTCTCATATTTGCTTATAAGAACAAGTTGGTATGTCCTTAATATAATTAATTAATTTCCTTAATAATCATATTATTATTATTATTATTATTATATTTTTTTAATGGTAAAATGCAGGATATAACTTTAGGTGTTGCTTTAGGATCTGCAACTCAAATAGCAATGTTTGTGGTAAGAAATTTGAGTTGATTTCGTAACGGTATTAATATTATTATATTCTTTAAAATGCTATAATTTAATTTAATTTTTATATTTTTAATAAAACTTAAAAATTAATTATTCTTAATTTTCAGGTTCCTTTATGCGTAATTGTCGGTTGGATTATGGGAATTAACATGGATCTTAAATGTAATGTTCTTGAAACTGCCTCCCTCGCTCTTTCAATAATGGCTTCATCATCCATTTTACAGGTACAGCCCCTATATATATACACACACATACATATACACACACACACACACATATATATATATGTTTAAATTTTTTAAAAATGGAATATTTTGTATTTAATTGGCTAATTTTGTAAATTATGTTGAATTTATAGGATGGCAGTTCACATTACATGAAGGGATTGATTCTCATCCTCTTCTATATTATCATTGCAATATGTTTCTTCTTCACCAATGGTGACTTTTCAAACTACTTTTAACATTTTTTTTACTTTTTATTTATTTATTTATTTATTTTTATTATTGTGTAGATGAGGTTACTATCGTCCATTCCCAATCATCGAGAGTCCAACTAAAGCCAAAGTAGCCCAAATTCAATATTTGTTCGAACTGAATTAGTACCATGGTAGTCCATGTTGTGAATGACAGTGTTTGCTCTTGATCTATGCAGATCAGGGGTTCAACTAACACGTGAAATAAGTTTTACTTTTATATTTTATAATATTTTACTTTTATATTTGTATAATATTAAATTTTAAGAGTTATTCAACTCGAGAGGGTCGAGTTGGTCTAACTTTTATAAAAAAAAAATAAATTATATGATTGTGCAGTAATTCGAGTTCGATGTTCAATCCCGTTTACTTATTAAGGATCAAAATATTATTCGTTTGGTGTTGTAATACATTAATAAACGAGCGATTTGATTCTATCTCGAGTACGGTCGACAAGCTTGCTCATAATTTTACTTGGGTTTATTTTTATTTTTTATTTTTTGCAAGGGAAAAAAAGTTATTTAGTAATTACATTTTTTTTAACTCGGAAAAAAGAAAAGAAAAATAAAGTATTTGCCTCTTCTATTTCTCTGTTTGCGCTCGCTCGTTCGCGCCTTCGTTTACTGTATGGTTAGGGTTTGGCGCTGAGTGAGTGCAGCGATCACCAGCGGATTTGGCAAACAATATTTTCTATTGAGTTCTTCCGTATCTCTCAGCGTCGATCGCCCGCTTCCTATTCTCATAATATTCTTTAATCTTTTCAACGTAGTTGAGGAATTCAACTGGGATAATTGGGCTGCTTGCCGGAAATCTTGCGGTTTCTATCTGTTGTGTACTGTCAATTTTTAGGTAAACTCGACGAATTGCGCCTATCTGGTAAGTTTCATCGAATTTCTTCCGATTCGAGTTCGAGTTCGACCTTTATGATTGCTTTGATTCTGTTCTGCAAGCTCAAAATTCGAATTGACAACAAATGTTTTTGTTTGCCTACTTTGAATTTTTTTGGGTTCTTATTTCATTATAGATTTTTCCATGTTGCAGTTACTGAACTCCCATTTCGCACTTGATATGCATCTATTTGGTATACTTTGGAAATGGCAAATCGAAGTTTAGTGTGGAACGTTGCGAGGAAATGTTTCACACTTGGAATTATAGGCGTTACGGTTTCGGATCGTTATGCGAGTGTTGTCCCTATCCGGGGTGCTTCAATGTCTCCCACTTTTAATCCTAGAGCCACTTCTCCGGCAGGACCTGTTAGTGGTAATTTTCTGAAGGTTGCATATTTGTTATAGCGAGGAATTGATACCATCTGATGCTTGGGTTTGCTTTCAGATGACTACGTGCTGGTTGAGAAATTTTGCCTTGAGAAGTTTCAATTTTCTCCCGGTGACGTGATTGTTTACCGGTAAGTTTCCATCCAGCGCCTAACTTCGTTATCTGTATTGTCTTGTTCTGGACGCTTATATTGTGTTTTGTGGTATTAGCTTGATTTAGTTCCTCTTTTATTCGATGGTGAAGGCTTCTCTAGATTAAGAAAGAAAATGGCCTATGTAAACCCACATTATCCTTCCCATCGCTCTCTCTCAAATTATATAGTAGTATGATCCAGTGCATTGTATGTAGATAGTCTTGCTCGATTGGGATTGCTCAGGGTTTGAATCTTAATGAGTTGAGGCTAGATAATTAAGATTTGGATTGGCTCTTCTAGGTTGACTTTTGATCATTATTAGTTTGTAGGCCCATTTGATTAATCATCGCTGAGAGATCACATTTGGACTCCAATTTAATAACTTCCCAAGGCCATACAATCGAAGAATAAAGACAGAGAACTCAAAAGTAAGAAAAACTCGAACTCCATTACTTGCAATTTGCATAGAACGAAATGGTTACTCTTTGCATTTGCCTATCCAATATGGGGGGTCAAGTTTTGTGGCCTCTTTGTAGTCCTTTGGGGCAATTGGATCAAGAGGAATAAGACCTTTTAGGGATCGTGAGAGACCTTGGGAGGAGGTGTGGTCACTCTATTTGGACATCGTTTTCCAAGTATTTTTGTACTTATCTGCTAGGTCTAATTATTATGAACTGGAGATCTTTTTTTTTTTTTCTGTATAGCTAGGTGGTTGCCTTCTCTTAGTGTGCAGTATTTTTGTGTGTCCTTTTGTATTCTTTCATTTTGTCTGAATAAAAGCTTGTTTCCTCATTAACAAAAATGGTCATTTTTTGTGAAAGAAATAGTACGAATTATATTTACGTAGTCATATTCGAAATAATCTAAGGTAATGGATAGCATAGTGATCCATCTGGCTCCTGAATTGTAATAGTCTTGATGATGTAATTGGTAAATGTATGTGATTGAAAGCATGCCAAGAGTGTACGCTAGATAAAAAGCCTTCATTGTTTCCTGCGCTGTTAGGAGATTGTAACCTCCAAGTCCTCTTCTTCCCAAATTTACCGCACCCCAAATTTTGACCGTATTACAACGTAACCGTGGTAACTTCCCAAATATTGAGCACCCGAGAAAGAAATACTAAGCTCCAACTCAAGAACTAACAGTTAACTTCAAATTACCTGAATATAAAGAACTCTTTCAAGCTTATCCAACTTTAACAAAATTTCTAAGAACAAGCCAACTTCCAAACAATGATACATCTCAAATGCCAGTCCCAAAATGAATCATCAACACTAAACAGTAACTCAAACCATAAATGAACTAACCAACTCGTACTAATGTAAGTTCCCAACTAAAACCAACTATTAAGAAGATAGAATAACTAGCTAATGATCTCAAAATTTGGTGGTGAGTTCATCATAATGCATACTCAGTAAGTGGCTCACACGTGAGGAGTCATCAAACAACATACAACATAGAAAACAAACATAATGCTTCTCTCATACAACTAAACATGCTCTTTGCACATAAAACAAGTGAAACATTCAACATGCTCAACACTTGCATCAATACATCATGTCATGTGCACTCAATCCTCACGCAAGGTCAACGAGCTCATTTGACTCCACAGAGTCACTCAACACTAATATTTAGCTCTCACAAAGCTATATGAGACTGACTCTTTCGAGTTATGTCAATGGTCTACCACCCTGACCATTTTTACCTGAGGCACAATGGTATTTACCCAACTTTTCTTCATCACACACAAGGTCCTCTGACATCGTAGAATCTCACTAAAATGCATGATCCTACACAACCATCATGCCTTTTCAGACAATGTCAGCATTTCAGCATGCTCATCACAACATACTCAACAAACAACAGGCTCAAAAATCATCAAAGGTCACATTTCATAACTTAAGTCACATATCCACCACAAATATAATATGTTCAACATCTTAAAAACACCACATAACCTATCACAACTCAATATTCCAGCATGCTTAAACACATAAGGAGACATAATAATTCAAAGAGACATGCTTCACATGATGTAGTTAGAAAAGTTGGTAGGCACACACCAAACAACTCCACAAGTGGAAACTACTAACTTAAAGTGCTCCTAATATAATCCAGTAGATTCCTAAGCAGCAAGTACAAGGCTTAGTGGTCAGAAATTAGTTTGGACGACCTTAATTGAAATTGAAAGAGTATTTAGGAGAGGCTTCCTTACCCAAAATCACTCTTAAACTGAGTTCGAACAATCCAAAACTGAACTGACTCCTGAAACAAAATGTATTCACTGGTATGGATTTGTGGCTACGGTGTCGTTGAAGATAAAATTTACTCTTAGAGACTTGAACAATTTGATTAAAATTTCCTTCCCTAAATCGTTGACCTATTGCAGATCCCCTAGTAATTACAAGGAGAAACATGTGAAAAGAGTTATTGCCTTACCAGGAGATTGGGTTGGAACTCGTCAAACATATGACGTTGTAAAGGTTCCAGAAGGACACTGTTGGGTTGAAGGTGATAATTCAGATTGCAGCATGGACTCGAGATCTTTTGGCCCGGTAAGATACCATCTTCTATAGTTAATATTCTGTTTCTTTTCGGGTGTGCTATTAGTTTTGAGATGCAACCAGAGTTTATGTGGATTGGTAGCCTCGATGGGATCTTTAATTATTCTTGTAACTATTTTTGGGAATTGAAAAACACAGTTGAAAATATCATCATACTTTTTTAGAGTTCAAAACAAAGTTTTCATATGAAAGAGCATTAAGAAAATATAGATAATTAATTTACTGTTTTTCCAGAGACATTTCTTGAAATACTTTACTGCAAGTATCTGAGGTTTGAGTTCAACTCCTTTTTTAATGCTTTTTAGACATGACTAGCCCAGCCTGACTGAACTAAGCCTTTTGCTGGCAGATACCAATGGGTTTGATTCAAGGTAGGGTGTCACATATTGTATGGCCACCTCAAAGAATTGGTGCTGTTGAGAGGAAATACCCTCAGGGGAGAGTCAAGTCCTACTAATAATACCAAAATTGAAGGTCTTTTACATTAGGTAGAAATTTTTTAGAACTGGAGACCTTTTCTGCAGTGATTTCTATCTATCACTTTCGGTTATGTTATTTTTTCTCCATAACATACATTATTTACATTCTTGGGGTATTTTCAATGTAATACCCGTATTTGGAGGAACCTGTATTTCAGTAACGATTGAACTTGACCTCACGTATGCACGAGAATCCCGTCGCTTAAGTTTCCTGGTAAAATCAAATCAAATGGAAAAATGTAATGAGTGCCCCATCAACTGGAATTTTGGGAGGAGAATCGTAAAAGACAGACAACCAGTAATTATCAAAAACTTTTGCAGAGTAAATTCATATTGCAGCTTTTCGTTCAACTTTGATTTCTAGGACTTAGGTAGGAGGTTTGGTTGGTTCAAGCTGATGGAGGAACCAAGTGTGTTTTTCTTAGTTTATTATTATTTTTTTAATTTTTATTGTTGTTTATTAGCTTTTCCTCTGTACATTTTATAAATACAATCGGGAACTATTATTATTATTATTATTTATCTATTTTAATCGAAATTGACTTCAAGATTAAATTTGAAAGTTTTTTGTTAAATAAATTTAGGGGAGGTAACCTGATTTTGGGAGTGCATTCCAGCATATTTAATATATATATATGTTTTCTGAATAAGAGGACATATTTAATAATAAAATAGAAAATCGTTTTTTTTTTTTATTAAATAAAAGTATTTTTTGGGATTTTTTTTTTTTTTAAATAAACAGAACGAAGAAAAAACAAATAAGAATAATAGTATTTCCTTGTTTTTAATTAAAATTAATTGGATAATGACGTCATTCGAAGTTTTTGTACGTCATGGAAACGTTTGAATTACGTAAGATTTGAAGGGTTTAGGGCATTGATAACCTTGTGAATTTCTTCATCTGACAAAAAGAAAAAAAAAAATTGATAATTTTGGCAGGACTACACAATGGACACATAACTAAGGAAGTTTAATGGTGCTGCTGCCTGCTGCTACTTCCGGAAGCCATTGCGGCCGAACTACAATCATTTTGTCTCTCAAGGTTGAGGGAACAAATATCGAGTGATCCTTGTGTTTGTGCCTTCTTAAACTTGAGATAGCAGCTTCTTATTTTCTGCAATTCGTCAACAACCATATTCATGGACGTTCTTTCTCGAGGCACAGTTGAAGAGCATGATAACCCAATTCTCATTATTGAAACTACACATTCCTCCATCCATCTTGGTACAGTTTCTCTACCATGATTATCTTCACCCATCATTATTGCTATTTCTGGAATTCTGTCTTCCTTCTCTTCTTCTTGACAACGTGTTTCTTCATATAGCAAATAAGGGTCAATTATGGCCAACGCTCCATGAGACAATGCCGTTGAAGTGAACATGTGAATGTCTACGCCACTGTGAAACGTTTTGTCGGTGGGTCTTTTCCCAATGATCATCTCCAATAGTAGTATTCCGTAGCTGAAAGTATCTCCTTCACTGGAAACTCTACCACCGGTGGCATACTCTGCAATTCCTCATCCATCATTATACGAATAGAAAATCAAGATCTAAAGGAGTTTGGATGGAAGAAAAATACCTGGAGGGATATACCCGATCGAACCCTTAAGCGCAAGTGACATGGTTTGGCTGAAAGATGATTGATCATTTGAGCCTTCCAACATGAATCTTGCTAAACCAAAGTCCCCTACATGGGCCACCATATCATCGTCCAGCAATACATTGCTAGGCTTTAGATCACAGTGAACAATAGGTGTTTCGCAATGATTGTGAAGATAATCTAATGCACAAGCAATATCAATGGCAATATTCAGTCTCTGGATAAGACTCAACCTTCTTTGATTCTCCCCTTGATTTGTAGGGTGAAGCCAACGGTCCAAGTTTCCATTGGACATGAAATCGAAAACTAGAGCTTTAAACTCATTGCCTTGTCCATCGATGCTCGAGACAGAAGTTATGATCTTTAGTAGATTTCGATGTCTTATGTTTGCGAGAGCTTTGCATTCATCAACAAAACTTTTGGAAGCACCTTCTTGTTGGAGGTTCACAACTTTGATTGCAACAATCAATCCATCATTTGACAGAGAACCTTTATACACAGAACCAAAACTACCTGAACCAATCAAATTGTCTCTAGAGAACCCGTCAGTTGATCTACTGAGTTGTAAGTAGGAAACTTGCAATAGAAAATCCTTGGAGTTGGAAGATGAATTCGAAGCATTCTTCCTCGAATTCTTAAGCATTAAACACACAAGAAGGATGCTCAAAATAATAATGGCAGATGTGACTGTAGATATTGTACAGGCTAACACTTTTTTTGTCAGAAACTTGTTGGATGAATGTGTTGGGTTAGGCATGCATGAAGGTAAATGTAAGTGTTGAAAACCACCACATAGACTATTATAGGATAGATTGAGATACTTGAGTGCAAGAAACCGGTCAAGAAATTGGGGAATTGGCCCAGACAAGTTGTTGCTTGAAAGATCAAGTGCTTCTAGACCTTTCAAAGCTTCCAAAGATTGAGGAATTGTTCCCTCAAATAGGTTATGATCCAAAAACAAATGAATCAGGCCCATACATTTACCAAGGTCTTTGGGAATATTTCCTGATAACATGTTCTCTGACAGATCCAACTCAGATAAACTAATTAATTCTCCCACTTGAGCTGGTAATGGACCAGTAAGTGAGTTCTGAGCCAAGGTCAAAAAGAGTGAAAGGGAAGGGAGACTGAGAACTTCCTCGGGTATGGTACCACTTAGCTTATTATTAGATAGGTCAAGAGCTTGAAGTCTTTTGCATCGTCCTAAGCTTGGTGGTATACTTCCATCAAGTTTGTTATCATTCAAACGAAGCTCGATGATCAAGGACAAGTTACCAATGGATGATGGAATTGGCCCACTTAGTTTGTTACCTTGCAAATACAATTTGGCCAAGTTTTGAAGCTTACCAACATTGAGAGGGACACTACCATTCAAGTAGTTATTTTCCACAGTGAAAACCTGCAAGTTAATCAAGTTTTCAATCCCTACTGGAAGGCCTCCACTTAACATATTTTCACCTAAGGTTAGGCTTGTGAATTGGTCTGACAAGTTGGTAATAGATGGAGGCAATACTCCACCAAAATGATTCCCAGCAGCACCCAGTATGCTTAGACTGGTACAATTAGTCAAGGAACTGATAAAACTTAAGTCACCAACTTTCCCAGTTCCAAGTCTATTGTCATCAAAATTTAGTACCACCAAGTCGTTTAAGTTCCCTAAGTCCTCAGGTATTTTACCAGTGAAATTATTCTCAGAAAGATCTATTTCTTGAAGACTTGAGGCATTCGCAAAAAACGTGGGAATAGGCCCGTTGAAATTGTTGATAGCACCATAAAAGATCTGAAGATTGGGAAGAGAAAATCCATTATTTGGTGGTACTAGGACTTGCAATCGATTCTGAGTAACAGAAAAATAATTCAAAGAAGTTATATTATAGATTGAAAGCGGCACTGACCCTGTGAAGTAGTTTCCATAAACTGTGAAGAATTTCAATCTATGCAGACGTCCAACTCCATTGGGAATGTCTCCTTGAAAGTTGTTCTTTGCGAATGACAAACGAAGCATTGAAGAAAAATTACCTATCCAAGGTGGGATAGTTCCAGTCAAATTGTTGACACCAAACCCGAGAAGCTCCAACTTGGTTAACGTGAAGAATTGGGATGGAATTTGACCTTCAAGCCTATTGGCACCAATTGTCAGAACAACCAGCTCAGTACAATGACTTATATTCACTGGAATCTCACCACTGAAGTTATTAAAAGACAAATTGAGATGACGCAATCGTAGCAGTCGACCAAACTCTTGGGGAATTTGGCCATGCAAGTTGTTGTCTCCCAATCTGATTTCAGTGAGATAAGTAAGATTACCCAGAGAAGGTGGTATCGAACCACTCAGCTTTCGAGCTTCCAAGCTCAAACCCACTACTTTTCTGATGCTTTGATCGCAAGAAACGCCAACCCAATCGCAAAAATGCATGGAATCGTTCCAAGCACTCATGATTCCAAGTGGGTCGTTGAATACTTTACTTTTTAAGTCAAGTAGAGCCAAGCGATCCGATTCATTTCCAGAGGTTGGTGTGTATTTTGCCAAACCTGATATCATAGACATCAGAAAGACATTATACAAAATTATACACAGAATCCGCTTGGCATTGCTGCGAGTGTTCGCCATCCTGATTTCTGATAACAAGAAAGAAAAAAGAAAACAGCGAATTTATCAGTTTACTTGCAAGGATAAAGCTTACATGGAATTTATAGGCAATGGCATCTTTGAGTGGTTGGTGGCTGTGAATTTTGTTGAGACGACTCCATTATCTTAGCTTTGGATCCCACTGGGCAGAAGACTAGTAATAGTAATTCTTCTCAAATATCTTAGGCTTCAGCTTAGGAGATGAATACTAGTAAAATGAGATCAAGTTAGAAACATATATATTTTTTAATTTAAAAAATATTCATGTTCTACCGTTACTCGACGAGTTCTCTATCTAAATACTTTTATACAACACAGATAGATAAAGTAGTTTAAAATTAAAATTCATTTGAGTTTACCATTATTATTATTGTAGAAATTATTTATTTGATTCTAAAAGTATCACGAAGTCAAGGTCAATGCCATGGTAGAATAAAGCTACAACAATCAAAATGTATTTATGAAAGAAAGCAAAGCATGAAATCAAGTCAACGGTTTAAAGTCTATGGGGCAATAAACATGGCGTGTGGAAGGGGAGGCAAAAAAGAGAGGGACGGGGCTAAAGGTTTGAAACCAAAATTTGGTTCAAATAGATTAAAATTGTTTGGACTATTTCATGAGTGACTTAATTATACTATATATAATATTGTATTTTAAATCTCGACAAACATGTACAAGTTTAGAAAAATTAAGGAAATTGACTAAAAGGATGTGGATTTGATGTGAGTATAAAGATTTGGCCAGAAGTGAAGAATCTGTTGTTTCTAAAGCTTCCTCTGTTTTTGGTGAACTTTTCTTACCGTTTAATTTCTATTCGGATCTTAGCTTTGGGTTCTTTACCAATGGAGGTGGAGATTTCTCCATTTTGTTTTATCGTCGCCCGAGGTTGCCTGAATCTGGTGAACTGAAGAAGGGCTTTTAGTTTGATTTCCAATTATAACTTAATTGAGAGTTATTGACCTACCAATGGTTAATGATCATAGAAACTATAGAAATTACAAAATAATTTTCTGTTTGGAAATAAAACAGGATAATTACGAAATAATTAAGAAGACAACACCAACATGAGGGGTGTACATTACCACAAAAAATGATCAGTCGGAGCCAGATATTTACTTATACTTTTCCTTGCATTTTTTTTCTATCTTGTTGTTTGTGTTCTTCGTCTAAATTGAGTGAGTTGTGCAGCAGTAACATATAGCTTCAAAACCTTTTTAATTCAATTCTAACCGCCCATAATTTTATTACTAAATTATTTCACCATATATCGTAAGCTTTACAAAATAAAAAATATTTTTAATGAAAACAATATGATAAATGTATTCAATTAATATAAACACAATAAAAATGTTTTGAAGAATTCTTTTTTCTTCTTATTAAATCTTCTCAACTACTATTTCATAACTGAAATTAATTATAGAACCTATATAAATAGTCTTATGTTTTTCTATTTGAATCTGAATAATATTTCTTCCTACCTCATTACTTGAACAAGCTGCATTTTTGTAAATTAAACTGTGTACCTTATTTTGGTTCCTCTGAGATATATGAGCACCAAACATGTCAGCATGTATGTTACCACAATGATAAGCCATACCTGCAGAAAAACAATTTGGAAAACAGATAAGGGAGGGAGCACCTTGATGAATTCTAATTCAAATAACCAAGTAAACGAACCTGCAAGTTATATGCTTCGAAGTTAATCCTCAATGTTGCACAAAACTAACGCAATTTGGTCAAGAACATAAGCTGATATATAGTTATCATCCCTTCTGGTTTAATTCCTGTTGCCATCATTTCTTAATTCAACGTTCTTTGCCTTCATTTTGCCCACATCAGATATTATAATCCACTAAACTTTTCTGTTTGGGATATGGAGCCTGATCAATAGTAAAGAATAGGGTAGAGATAAGGTAGATATTTCGTAATGCATAATAAAAGATATGGTAAATATTTCGTAATGCATAATAAAAGATATGGTAAATATTTCGTAATGCATAATAAAAAATATGGTAAATATTTCGTAATGCATAATAAAAAATATGGTAGAGATATGGTAGATATTTCCTAATGCATAATAAAAGAGATGGTAGGGATAGATATGGTAGAAATTTACAAAGATAGACAGAAATATATAGTAGATATTTCGTAAAGATTTAGTAAAATTTTTGGCGGAGATATAGATTATATTGGATAAACATAAACCATATATATACCTTTTCTTTTTTCTTCATTTAATTTGTATACCCTAAATTCATCAATAAAATCTTTACCAATATTTTTCCTTAAATGGTCTCCCTCTAGTTGTTGCAATCCTCAAACTTTTCTCCTCCTTTTTCACCCTTGAAGAGGTAATTACAGAAATTTTCAGCAGCAGGTCAACCCAAACTGTAATAGCTGAGTTATTTCATGAAGGGACAATCTTCCCTCCACAGAGAGAAGATTGTTGACTTTAACGCTTTCATCCTCTCGACCGTTGGATCAATATAACTAGAACGCCACCTTTGTGATAAGCATTCGTCGTTATACTTAAAAATTTAGATTTGACCTTTTCAATTCTATTTCTTTCAGTTGACTTCACGATAATCTGATCAACCTCATCCAGCAGACCAAGCAAGCAACCTGAATAAATTAATTTTGCTTGGAGTTATGTCTTCCTACATTGGTGTAATCGCCAAAAAAGATGTCCTAATCATGAGTTTTTTCAAATAGCCTCATTAAGCATATCCCAAACTTCACATCTTGTGGGAAGAACCTCCAGAAAGAAATGTCTGAAAGGTGTACTGTATCACCCATATTGCCAACCATCTTGCTTGCTGCCATCATCATCTTTATATGTGGAGATGGCATGATCTACAAAGCTTCGATTCGAACAGTATCCATAAATGAGAACAAAAATTCAAACTCAACAATTACGTGCATAACACAAGAGCCACTGAAGTCCTCGCCAGAAAACAGAGAAGAAGATGATGATAGTGGAACTTTTGATTCCTTGATAGTTCCATTCAATCTTTCAGGAAAAAAGGCAAGAATTGATTGGTTTAGGAAACACCTTCCCGACTTTCGAATTTTGCAGTCAAACAATTTCACGCAGCAGTTCCATAATCGACTTCAGGAGTTTCTCAGCCATGATTGTGAGACACAATTCTTCATGACATGGATATCTCCAACAAGGACTTTCAGAAGAAGAGAACTACTGGCAGCAGAAAGCATTTTCAAGTCTCACCCCCGTGGATGCTTAACTATTCTATCAAGAACTCTGGACTCAGAAAGAGGCTACAAGATTCTTCAACCTCTACTTGATCGTGGGTTTAAAATTCTGGCAATCACACCGGACTTGCCTTCTCTATTCAAAAATACCCCTGTTGAGACTTGGTTTGATGAGATGAAGAGAGGAAAAAAAGACCCAGGTCAGATTCCATTAGCTCAGAATCTATCTAACCTGATGAGACTTGCAGTTCTATACAAGTATGGAGGTGTTTACATAGATACAGATTTTATTGTTTTGAAGTCTTTCATGGGGTTGAAGAACTGTATTGGCGCTCAAAGTATTGATCCGGTATCTAAGAACTGGACTAGACTGAATAATGCTGTTCTTGTTTTTGATAAGAAGCATCCACTTCTAGAGAAATTCATGGAAAATTTTGCATCGAATTTTGATGGGAGCAGATGGGGATATAATGGACCTTTTCTGGTCTCCAGAGTAATAGCAAAGGTAACAGGAGCCGGAGATAGACCAGGTTTTAACGTCACTATATTGCCTCCAGCAGCATTCTACCCAGTGGACTGGACCAAGATTGGTGAACTTTTTAAGAAGCCAGGAAACCGAGCTTCTGCAAATTGGGCAAAAGCAATGCTATCTCAGCTAAATGACAAGGCTTATGGAATACACCTATGGAACAAGCAGAGTAAAAGTTATACCATTCAAAAGGGAAGTGTCATAGAAAAATTAGTTTCTGATCATTGCATCGTTTGCAAATACACTTAGAATTAGGGAAAGCTCTACGAGAACAAATGTAAAGATGCATGAAAAACTACAATTTATTTAATACAGTACACCGAAAATCTTATCAAGAATAAAGTGAAAGCATTTTCCTCACAAGAATCTTAAAGAGATCATGACTTAATTGTATCTCCTTCATCCAAATTCCCCAAATTAAAGCATTTATTTGCTAGGCGTTTAAGAGTTTGAATCTTCTCCATTGTATTCATCAACTTATTTTCTACAATACCATGATTTGAATAAATTCTCTCTGATTATTTTCAACCCAATCTCTCTCTAAAGTAGTATGAAAAAAGTACGGCATTTTAAAGGACAGTAGGCACCATGTTTGGATAATGGTACCAGAAGAAGTCTACAAGAATCAGTCGGAAACTATAGGTTTAATTCAATTAAGTGGTTGGATTATGCGAGCAAATGCAACATGAACAGGTAAAATCATATCAAACTAATTCCAAAATTAAAGAGAAATAACGATTAAAAATTATGAGGAGTTACTGGTCTAGTCAACTTCCGTAGCTTTTCTGAGCTACAAAAGCTATGATTATCCTGAAAGTATATTATTTTAGCCGGAGAATATCAACTCGTCAAAACCAATGTCAATTAAACTCGTGGTCATTATATTTTATCTTTCTTTGGAGGAGACACAGCAACAACGAGTACGAGTACTCTGTTAGACGAACACGACTCTCCACAATGGTATGATATTGTCCACTTTGAGCATAAGCTCTCATGGCTTTGCTTTGGGCTTCCCAAAAGGCCTCAAACCAATGGAGTTAGTATTCCTCACTTATAAACCCATGATCATTCCCTAAATTAGCCGATGTGGGACTTTCATCATCCAACACCTCCCCTCAAACGAAGCACGCCTCCCCTTAATCGAGGCTCTCCTTTGGAGTCTTAGTCATTTTTGACTGCCTTCGTACCTTCGAGGAGGCTTGACTCCTTTTTTCTTTTTGGAGTCCTTTGTTCGACATTCGAGGATTTGTCAATCTATTGGCACGACTAAGTTTAGGGCATGGCTCTGATACCATGTTAGACGAACACGACTCTCCACAATGGTATGATATTGTCCACTTTGAGCATAAGCTCTCATGGCTTTGCTTTGGGCTTCCCAAAAGGCCTCAAACCAATGGAGTTAGTATTCTTCACTTATAAACCCATGATCATTCCCTAAATTAGCCGATGTGGGACTTTCATCATCCAACATACTCCTCGCCCGAACGCCCCGACTACGAATTTTTGCATTAGAAAAACAAAAGTCCAAACAGCATGGGCCACGAGAAGAATATTCAACTAGAAAACTCAACTAATTCAGGAAAGCGACACCAAAATAAACAAACAACGAATTTGCGTAAATTTCCACACCAATGATTAAATCGCTTTTCCTCATTGCTACTTCATCCCCTCCGCCACAACAAAATGAAGCGCAAGTAAGCGAAAACATGAATGAAAAAACGACACACGAAGGCACAAGTCTATTAATGGACATTACGAACAGAAACACCAGAAGGAATGAAATTGGTAGAAAAGGAGAGATCGGAAGTTGAGGGAAGAAAATGAATTCCTTGTGACTCTGATCAAGAATACGAAGCGCAAACCTGTAATGAGAAAGATAGAGATATCGAGAGAAGCAATCGAAAGCGGAACTGTAGAAGCGGACGCCATTACTGAATCACGAAGCGATGTAAAAGAACAGAGATCAAAGAAATGTAAAATTTTGGCGGGCCGATGAGCTTTTATATCAATATAATAATATTGAGAAAGGCTTTTAAAAATTATATAAAATATTTCTTTTATTATTCAAGGCCAGCGCGGCCCATTTATCCCAAAATACTCTAGTGGGCCAAATAAAAATAGGCCCATCATATAGTGGGCCAAATCCACAGCTGTATTTCTCCCTTTTTAAATTATTTAAAAGAAAAAAAAAAAAAAAAAAGACAATATTGGAATGAATTAAATTAAATAAGGTATTTGGAGATCTGAGTCAAGAATTAATCAGCGGGGTCAAAAGGAGCAGTCCAGTCCAGTCCAATCCAACCCACTTACTTATTATTCTAATAATAATATTTATTATATATTTTAATCAAATAATTATAAGTAATAAATCAAAATTTGAAGATCCGGTGGATTAATTGAACATGTGGGAATGCATGTGCAAGCCACGTGCGAACCATGTGACAATTTGACAGTTCAATTTCCATTACCAAATGGAATAATAATCAAGCTTACAATATTTATAACTTTCTCCATTTAATTAGAATGAACCAGATAAGATTCTTTAAACAAAGTATTAAGTGAGCTACAAGTATTATGATATAATATACTTAGCTAAATTTGAGCCATTAATTTGACTGGATTGAAAAATCTAACACACTCGAGAGGGACATAGGCAAAAAGCTATCGATTTTCACCCATTGGTATGATACAAAATATGGAGTGAACAAACGAGGACGAGGACGAGGTTTAGTGATGAGGGGCAGCAGCAACGGTGGCTGCCGATGGCGGAGCCTTGCATTGGTAGCATTTCGCAAAAAGCCCGAAGGTGTCGACTTGCCTGACAAAGTTGGTCATGCTAGCCCATCCTCCGAACCCGAACCCAACCACCAAAACCCATGCCACCACGAACGCATTCAACGCATACATTCCGACCCAACTCGGGAGGAAGAATGGAGGCTTCTCCGCTGCATTCTGTAAAGGACGAAAGTATATTTGATTAATATTGTTTTTACCATAAGGTACTTATCTTGGTTTTATTAATGAATAGTTTGAGAGTGTGACAGAGACCAAGTCGTTCCAATAACTATATGAAAAGGACTTATCACCTATTTCAATTATCTGATAACATTTCTATATCAAACCCATAAATGCTTTTCTACATTTAACATCAAATTTATAAGAATAATCAAATTAAAACATACATTTTGTTCAAACCCATGATATCATAATCCTATGTTTAGCTCAAACTAATAAGTAGATATGTTATTTTCAGCTAAATTATACAAAAATGCACCTTCACTATATAGAGAGAAATGGATATGAATCACATGAGCTAACAAAGAAACAACCAAAAGACAAGCAGTGGGGGCAGCAAATGTCAGTACATGCAGTGTGGGGGCAGAGTGAAACAGTCGGATTTTGGTTAAGGGTTGATGAAATGCATTAAATTGAAGAGCTCAGGAATTCACCTGTCGAGCAGAGGCCTTTCTGTAAGTAAGCATATGAGCCAACGCGGGGATAATATACACTGTAAAGCTCACCAACAAAGCGCCAACGGCGGAGTTTATAGGCCCAAAGAAAGGGAAAATGATAGCCAAAAACCAAATAGGAATCACTACTGGTAACCTCGCAACAGCCCTTAAACAAATGCTTTTGGTATCATGCATTCCAATTACTTTCTCCCAAACGAAGTACAACGGCGTACAAGCGAAACCAAACGTAATAAACTGCACCCAGATAAACGCATGTCAGAATTTAAACGAATTTGTAAAAATTTCTCTCAGGGGACTTTTCGCAAACACCTTCCGTGAAATATGGTGTTTTTACCTGATGGATCAACATGAGGATGACGGCTGCGTCGCGGAAGCCGGATTTGGGGAGGAGGGAGAAAGCGTTGGAGTGGTTGAGAAGCTGGTCGCCGAAGGCCCAGTAGACGGCGGTGGCTGACGGAATCGTTAAAGTGAAAACGTACAAAGTGGCCATCAAATAGATGTACTTGAATTTCTGCGGCTTCCACATCGCGTGCATAACTTCACTGAAAACATTAGGGATTTTGGGGTTAAAATTTTCGTTTTCAGATTTTCACAAGAGATTTTGGGTTCAAAAATTGCTTTAAGACAAACTCCAAGAAGCTTACACAGTGACGGCATGGCCTCCGAATGTGTAAAGAATGTTAGTGGCGCCGGTGAAGTACAGAACCAAACTCTTTGGTCCAGAGTGATGGACATTCTCCACCTAAAATTTGAACCAAAAAAGTTCAAGTTCCCATAAACAAGAAGATGAAGAAGAACAGAGCGGCGGCGGCGACAGTGGCGGAGGAAGTACCTGGCCGTGGACAAGGGCGGCAATGGCCATATACCAAGCGGTGTAAGTGGTCATTCCAAGCCCCAAAAACGACCAAATCCGGTAGTTATGGAAAGAAGGAATGAAAACAGTTGTAGCACAACAAGCTCCAAAAATGTAAGTCCAAGTCCGTTTATCCAAATGATCATTGATGTAATAAATATTACTGTGAAAACCAACAAAAATCCTCAAAACAAAGCAAACCCAGATGAAATCAACGCTAAAAAAAGATAAGAATGGCAAAAAATTGTAACCTTGCACAAGCAATAAGTTGAATGACTGATCCAAACAAGAGGAAAGTGCAGTTAAATGCAAGGCCAATGGCTTTCCAATACGGTCCCAATAAGCCATCAAGAACTTCAAACCACTGAATTACATGATTCTTGAAGCTCACGTTCTCTTTCTCCTTCCTACTTCGATATTCAATGTAAAGAACACTGATTAAATAAGCCGTCCAGCTACCCATTATTCCATAGAACACCTGAAACAGAATCCCAGAAAGCATTCCCAGCTGAGAAAATGAGTACGGCAGAGTTAACAGAACCTGCGCAACCTGCAAAAAAATTCAACAAAAAGGTGTAAAAAACATGAAAGAATTCGTGGGAAAGCTTTAAAAATGGGTTTGATTTTGTTTCTTTACTTGATTAGAAGCGCAGCTAAACCAAGCATCCCAAGAAGAACCGCCATGCCAGAGGAGGTTCTTGACACCGAACATGGCCTGAGAATCTTTGCTTTCCTCTTTCCCTTCATGCTCTGTTTCGTTCAAGTTGGAAACTATGGCTTCCTCTGCTTGTTTCTGCGGCAACATTGTCTTTGGTTTCTTAAAAAACCCAAAAAACCTGACGAAAAAACAAGACAGTAAGTGAGACAAGCGGAAGAAACAAAAACAAACAAAAAAAACGGAGTTTTCGGGTAGTTCAGTTTAGAATGATCGAAAGAAACTGATAACCTTTGTTCGAAATGTCTCTTTCGTGTAAAGATTGAAGAGAACCCAGATCGTCTTCACAAACAAAAATTCAAATGAAACAAACAAAAGTA